TTTAAATAATATAACTACTCTTTTATTCGCTTGATACACTAGTAAAGCTAATAGGACTAGATAAACAAGACCATTCTCATCAAAATCCCCATAATTATTCTAACCTGCTTTTTTAAAGCAAGTGATTCCCATTGACAATCTGGAAACTAGTCTACTTACCACGAGTAAAGAGTGGTAGAATGAGAAAAAATTTATTATTTATCATTTTATTTATTTTTTTTGCTATAGTATGAGCATCCGAAAATGACATCTTTAAACGGCAGAATGCGCTGTTTAGGCCAGTCGACAGCATCCTGTAACGATAGGTGTCACTACCAGAACTTTGTTCGATGTAGTGTAGGTGGTAGAATCAGTTTGGCTCATGTATTTTGAGCTCACATATATAGTTGGCCTACTACTGTTAGGAATAAAAATGCCATGTATGACCTAGACATTCTTCATTTTCATTGGCGCAATATTCCCATGGTGGACCATACCGTCTGCCTACTGGCAGATTTCGAGACAGGAGATGTTTTCTTTTTATAGGGGGTTGTCAAAGCTCTACGCCCAACGTTCTACAGTCATATTAGACCAGGGGGCCTGAATAGCTGAATGCATAGCGCTTGGTGCCACAAGTTTCGGGTTAGAATCCCGGCGGTGCCATGGATGCTTGCAGTGGTTCGGAATCCACTTTAAGCTGTAGGTCCCAGTCTCCTATGACCGTCGAGCGTCACAGAGCCCAATCAGACTTCTTCTCACTCACATCACTCCCAAAACTGTAAAGGCAACTCAACTCTAGGCACAGTGATATGGTATAGTAGTAGTCATATTACCCCGATCTACGGTTTAACGTGATTCCGAACACTTCGAACATCCATTGGCACCGCCATGACTCGAACTCGTAGCATGTGGCACCGTGCGCCACAGCGCTAGTCACTCGGCCATCAGGCCCGGACCAGAACGTTCCTTATGGGAAACTTTAGAATTGGCCGAATGACCACCATGATCACCAGATTTGTCTTTTCACGGGAGGCATTAGCTAGAACTTACCTGAGATTTAGAAATTGTACCGAAATCCTGTACCTTGCCTTAGGAAATGTTTGGGATTTGTCGGGATTCATTTAGCTTAAAATCCTTTAAAATTAAGCCAGATATTTTCTCAGCACCCGTATTGAAGAAATCACTTATATAAGGAGAAGAAAAAAAAAAAAGCTATTCCTAAAGGCCCTGACCTCCTTCCGTAGATATACTGTTCGTGATCGAGGTGGCCCACCGATGTCCAACCCTCAGTTTTCTAACTGGTAGGGGGCTACATAGGTTGAAGTAAGGAGAAAAAAACAGCCACTATTTTCAGAAATGATAAGATTCGATTGAAACTACGACAGTGTCTCACATTGATAGTTGCTCTACCGATAAGGATTTTCCGTGTTTTTTCTCCTATACGATACGCAATGCAGGGCAGTTACCCTAAAAAGTCCTATCGTTAAACTACGACCTCCCGTCCTTATTCGTAGCTGGACTGTTCGAACGACATCCATGCCACGCCCAGGACTCGAACCTGGAGCCTGAAAGAGAGATAACCCATTTACCATCAGGCTGTTTGTTGCTATGAATGAGGTAGAAAAAATGACACAAACGTTAAGTGTAAAAAAAAAAAAATGACATGCTGTATAATGAAGCCACCAAAGCATCGTTTAACGTGTGAAGATCAATGGTAAAAGGAAAAGACTCAATTCCTTTGAGGCATAACGGTTCTCTGCATTTTTCCATCTTCCTTTCTGTACTTTTTACGGTCATTTTAGGCACACATCAGACTGGGACACAGTTTGACGTTGATTCCGAATCTCTCGTAAACATCCAGGCCACCGCCAGGATTCGAAGCCTTGGTACGAAAGGCCACAGCGTTAACCTATTGGCCATCAGGCAGAAACAACATTTCGGAGTTACATTTTTGATGAGTGTAATGGAAAACATTTGGCAAGAAAGTGATTATAGTCCTTGCTGCTTCACATCCCCATATACCACTTCATTCATCACCTATTTTCTTACAAAATTAACGATTTTGTTTTTTTTATTTATTTACTTAGATTAAGCCATACTCTTACTTGACATCAAGCAACTAATCAGCAAGTAATTATCTTTAAACAAAGTCAAGTGAAGTCAAGAAATATAGTGTTGTTTGCAGAAATCTGCGTAATTGAGAACTGGATCTTAAACTAATATTAATGCAGCATCGATATAATGTGTTGTTAAAGAAGTTACTTGAAGGGAATTACATTTATCCGATATGTGTTGAACCTGGGCAAAACACACATCCGTCTTATGCAGTACGATATTAAAGTAAAACTTCAAGAAATGAGCTTGCATTTGTAGTTGCATTGCAGTATCAGTAGCGATACATATTTCTATATTAATATTGAAGTGATATTTTTTTAAAATTTCTATTTCCTGCAAATTATTTTGAATCAATTCGCCGATTTTGTGAATGTGAAAGAATTAAATTCTAAGAAGATTTTGTAAATAAATATTGGAAAGAAAGAAAATTATATACTTGTAATTGTAAAAAGTTTCCATAATTGTTGGACGCGAAACTTTGACGTAGCATTAGACTGATGTTACTGTAGCATTTTACTTTTTATTTTTGTAAGCTGTTTCTTTTCTGAATTTATAAATACATTTTTTATACTGTGCAAGTAGTTTCTTTATATTACCTCATTTTTTGTGGTCATAAATATATATTAAATAAAAACTAAGTTCTTTGTGTCAAGAGTTTATTTTAAAGGCTTATTTAAATTTGAAAGAAATAAGTTTGACTAATTTAAAACATAAGTATAGTTAATGTACTTAAGAAAACAGTTTTTGTGTTTATTATGTATACATATTATAGGTTTGTCAAACCACATAACTTTGATAGCTTTGTATTTAAAAATATTAGTCAAAAAATATGCATAAAAACAGAGCATTTTCTTCCAACTCTGGAATCCTGGTCTTCAGAATAACTGAAAATAAACCATCTTGCATCCAATAATATTTTTCATTGTTAATGACTTTTATTCCTTGGAGGTATGCAATAAATATCAAAACGAACTGTCAGATATTTGTAAAGAATATTATATCCTTTTTAAAGTTTTAAGTGTCGGATTGCCCAACTCTTATTTCTATTTTTTAGAACAATGAAAATTTAATATTAAATTTGCATACACAAAAATAACAATGAAATTTTAACTACTGCAAATGCTTTTATGGCATAAAAAAATTATCTGAGTATTTGCTGCATTAAAAAACATGTAAAAATAATAGTAAACACAATAACTCATTATTTCAATTTTACACTTATTGATAATAAATATCAATAAGTGTAACTGCAAAAAAAATATATAGACGGTGTAAATCTTTTTTTTTTTTTTTCAATGCAGCTGGCAAACAGACATGGACGTCTTTGGATGCCTATAAGTTCTGCACCGATGTTACTCACTTTGCATTACCCAGGCGGCACGTGTATCTTGATGGCAAGCCACGGATGCGTTGTAACACTGCCCCGCAACGCTCTACGATCCTATCAGGACCGGGACCTACGGGCTCTACGATCCTATGAGGACCCATTCCGAACCACTACAACACCCATGGGCAAAGCCGGGATTTGAACCCGATACCTATGGTACTGAACGCCAGAGCGCTAGCCATTCGGCCATCAGGCCCCGGTGTAAATTTAATATAGGAATATATAATTTTATATGCGGCCCGCGGAGCTATGATGCATTTCCAAAGTGGCCTGCAAGATCATTTGGGTTGGCCTCTCCTCATCTCTATCTACCTCAAATTATACCTATAGAGTTGGCGTTCTACCTATTCCGGTCTAATGCTGTAAAGCGCTGGTTACTGCTTCTAAGAAAATAACTAATTATCTTGAAACATTTCATAATCAGACCTTGCATCATATTACTGACACAAAGAAAACTTCCCCAAATGATTACATGCTGTTGTATACAAATAAGAGGCATCTTAGTCAAATCATTAAAGAATATGCCCTGTTATTAAGGGAGAAAATAATTTAAATATCCGGTTGCATGTCTGTGGTATAGTTGGGATCATGTATCGACTGAGCATAATTTAAGGCACAAAGCGGCTGAAAGAAATCTTTAAACTGTTGCCGATTAGATTTTTAACTTCGGCATCGACTTTGGAGCACAACAGTTTTTATTGCCTCGTAAACCCATCGAACCAAATACCTATTATATCAACCTCAGATTGAGTCAAAGAGTGCTAAAAGCGGAGGACAATGATAAAGTGTTAAAGTCAGTGGTATACGATGCTTTAGATATCCTCCATCGCATCTCACATTGAATCAGGGTATAACTACGACTATCTTGTTTCTTTCGTTCGGTGGTTCCATTTTTCTTGTTAGCAGTAGCTTTCGGATGGTCCGAAGTATTGATTAATTCATTGAGTGTGAGCTAATAGCAGGAATTGAATATAATACAATTGAAAAAAGAACATTTTTATTTAATGCCATGTGATCTTAAATAATTTATTTAAGACAGCAGTAAAAGAGCAACAGACATTATTCATTTTATAAAAGTTTCTTTCTTCTTAAAAGAAACTTTTACAAACATTGTTTTGCCATTTGGAAAACCGCACGCATCATTTATAGGCTAGCGTATTTGAATACTTTATAAAACATTTGGTTTTTTCGCCATTCACTTAATTGCACATAGTTGAAATTTAGCTTATACCTAAATTGATCTTTATTATACTTGATAAAATCGCTAATAGCTAAGCGTCACGTTTAATATGCATAATTAGTAAATTCCTTTACTATTATATGCTTACTTTATATTATACTTATTACTTTATTACAAAGATGACAACAATTGGTTTTTGAAGTCTTTTCAATCAGATCTCTAAAGTGACTAACATAATTTTTTTAAAAAGAAAATTTTGATGACGCTTTAGGGCTTTGATGACACCTTTTGATAACACTTAGGTTTTTATTTGATTTTCACCATTCATTGTTTATAAATAGCGGCCGTACCATGCTGAATATACCGGTTCTCGTTAGATCACCGAAGTCAAGCATCATTGGGCGCGGTCAGTACTTGGGTGGGTGACCACCTGGGAACACCGCGTGCCGTTGGCATTCACACATTTGGGACCTGAATGGCCGAGTGTTCTAACGCTCTGGCGCTCGGTGACACAGGTTTCGGGTTCGAACCCGGCGGTGCCATAGATGTAGTGGTTCGAATCCAATTTTGCCGTAGGACTCCTATGACTGTAGAAGCGTCATGAGCCAAAGTCCAACTTCTACCTACGGGTGCTCCATCACAACAGAAGCTGCTTCCTTCCCCTTCAATCATGAGAACGTATGGGTCGTGGGCTTGGCCAGCCAAGTGGGATAAGAAACAGCAACAACATAAATAATCAGGTTGGTTTAAATAGGCATGTATTTTAAAGTAATTCTATAGATAGTGAATTTAACTTTCGAAATGAGAAATTGCAGCACGGAAAGTCTAAGCAAAAGATCTCGTATCTGAACTGGAAATGGGAATTATAAATTTATAAGCTAGAAAGCTAGTTCAAGAGGGAGGTTGCGACCATCCCACCAGACACCATGCTTCGGAATGTTCATTTTACATTTCAGAGGATTTTTTTTTTGTTCTAAGGCAACCACTTAGAGAATTGTCTTGGATGTCTTAAGGCTCGTCGATTATTCTGTCTTTACTTTTTTAACGCCCGAACCTGTGGTTTAGTGGAGGCTAGTCAGACTTCTATCTGCCATACAAAGCTATATGTCTGTAGGTCCAGGTCAAGCTGTAGGTCCCGGTGTAATAAGCCTAAAGTGTGTACAAAATGACCGTGAAGAGACAAGACAAACCAAATCTTTTTTTTTTTTTTTTTTTTTTCTAACTTCAGTTAAAATTACGTGAATTTTGATTTAAATTATATAGTAGCCTTGGAATTTTTTGAATTACACTTCATAGCGACATTTTAAACTTTCCTTTTTAGATCGGTTAAAACTCGACTCGTAACTCAGTGACAACATGCAGCAGCGGTGAGCATTAGGGTGGAGGTTCTACCCGCTGGTAGCTTTGTTGTGGACGCTGTTTCAAAAAACGAGGAGGCTCTATGGCGTTTGGGATGTTCAGCATCTTGCCTCGTCAGTTGGACTACCTGGTGGGAGTTTTTCCCGGATTTTCCCCCATACGATAAGCACATGCGGGGTAGTTCCTCCTAAAAGGTCTTCCGGTAAGCACTGCCCTCCTTCTCCAGCAACACGGAGCAGAAGTCAGACTTCTACCTACAGGTGCTCCATCATAACAGAAGCTGCCCCCTTTTACCTCCTATGTAGACTACTTAGGGGTGCACGTCCCGCGCTGCTGGATACTGAGGATGAGTCACACAACAACACACATTCTTTACGGACAGTGTAGCATAAATCAAAACAATGTAAACACCGATGAATCCTATATCTCTCGGAAAAAAAAGGAGATTAAAAAAAAAGAAAAACTGTTTGCGACATACTTACAGCCGGAGCAGAGAATGTTGTTGTTCTGCTTGGTGGCGTAGTTGACGTGGGGCTGAGGCAAGCTGACTGGGGCTGTCACCGGGTAGCTCTGGGTGTGATGCATGGTGGAAGCCTAAGGAAGACATAATTGGTAATTTGCATTTCACCTTGATTGCTACTTTTGTAGGAGTATTTATTTGAATTTTTCTTTTATAAAACTCTTGAATTATAATATAGTTTTGCCCATAATATAATAAAGCGCGCATCATGTTTGCCAGTGTGGTGCAAACATAATTCCTCACGTGCCTTTTACTTTTACTCGCCAATCTAACACATGCAGTGATAAATTGGCGATTTTTGACACTCTTAATTGTTGGCCATTACTACTGTATGTTACATGTGCGAAAGGAAGTAAAAGGTCTACAAAGTCCTACAACGATTTTTTAAAAGTTCATTTTTTTTACATGTAAAAAAATGTAAATTTAATTTTTCTGTAGATTTCTCATTATATATTTTATCAATAAATTTTCCTCCCTAAAAAGTGATAAAAAATAAAAATACATGAACTTTTTGTATTGATTTTTTTATCTCATATAACAAAATGATCAATGCTGTAAAACGAACAAACATTTTTTGTATTCTATTTATTTTTAGTAAGCACATAGTTAAATAAATGCATGACTTGAGAAGAATTTCTGGGAATGCTCAAAATCACTTCGTAACATTTTTTTTTGTATGTGTAAATAAATGCATGCAGGAAAAGAGGCCAAAGAGCGATGCAGCGCCTACTGTCGTACAAAAGGATTGGAGATGAGAAATCAAACTTTCTGTTCCTTTAGAATAGAGGGAAGCACTCCATTATATGAACCGACCACTAATTGTAAGGTTGGTTTGTCGCTCCACGGTCATTTTGTGCACACTTTAGGCTAATTAGATCGTAACCTACAGTTTAACGTGGATTCCGAACCACGAACACACATCCATGCCTCCGCCAATATCCAAACCTGGGCCTGTGGTACCAAGGCTGATTCTATGATAAAAAGCAAGCGGCCAATACGGTCATAGGGGAGAAAAGTACTTTGGATGGAGTTTTAATTACAATTCGAACTAATTTTAATTCTTAATAATTAAAATTATTTTTCTTAATAATAATAAAAAAAAAAAATAGTTAAAAATTGTACGACAAAAACTGTTCCATTTTTTTCCTCCAAAATTGTTTTTGCATCGCGTATGCCTAACATCCCTAAGAAGTAATAGATTCGTCCATTTCTGCGTTTAAACAGGATGTTTACATTTCCACACAATCGGTGGTTGAATTACGCTGATGTTCCTCGAATTATATGTAAATAGATATACGTTTTATAATTTATTATTTTTTATAGTTTTACTTTTTCAATTACAATGTCATCTGTCAAGGAGTATAAAACATTCTATGGTTGTTTCTTAGGTTTAGTTGTAACTTAGTTGCAACTGTAAATGAAAAACACTGCCTAGACGCGAGTTTCCATTCCACGTGTTATCTTCTTTTCTTTTATCATAAATTGAGACAACTTTCAGTTGATATAATAAAATATTTATTGGTACAAATACTTAATCGAGCCACCGCCGCCATCGGCAACTCCGTCACGTTCCTTTTTTCTGCCCTTGCTCTTACATTGGAATCCCCGTACAAGACAACAACCTTATATGGAGTTGCAGGAGGAGGAGTTATGGAAGAGTCTCTTGTTCGTGGCGCCATCTATTGTCATTTATAATGACAAATAGTTTACACACGCTCATCGAACCACACCGTTATCTATTGCCTTGTGATCCCCATCCACGAATTTATTACTAATATTTTTAAACATACTTGCAGGTACAGGAGGACATATACTGTACATTTCAGAATTTAAGCCGAGAGCGCGTTTGCTCTTCAGAATATTTGCCTAATATTCAAATCTCACACAGAAAAACGAAATGAAAAAAAAAATATCCTTTTTTGTTCAAATATGTTGCTATGAGGGCGAAAATGTTGCAAATATGTAAAAAGGGATGGAATCTTTACCATTCAAATCGCTGCAAAGTAAAACGCCAGACGGCAACGACGATAGTTATAACTCTGGTAACCCTATCAATCTAATCTCTGGACTAGTCATAAAATAGAGTGTGTCCTCTTATGTCACATCCCTGATTTTCTGATTTTACTTTTTCGTATGCTTATTTTTTTTATGGGACAGACCTTGATCACTTAATTGCATTTTAATAACCTATGTTTATTCTGTCAATGCTCTCTATCCCAAGACAGGAGCATCAGGATCTCTACTCAGCCAAGGGACTCCCGTGAATCAAGACTGACTGACTGAAGGAACAGAAGTCTACCGTCCTTTTCGTACCAGAATAGGTGCTGTATCGCCCCTTGGCTTTCTTTTCCTGACGCATATATTTTAGAAAACGTAAACATTTACGAAACGATTCTGTACATTTCAGAGAAATGCTTCCTCTGAAGTTGTATATTTATTGAACTTTTATATAATGTTTATGTTATATTTTTGTTTTATTAAAGATATATAAATACAAGAAACTGTATTTTGTTTATAACTCTGATCATTTTGTATGAAATAGAGTGAAACATTAAACAGATTTCATAAGAGTATATATTTTATTTTTTGAATCAATTTTTGAGGAAAATATGGAGACAAGAAAATTTATTGATAATTTTTTATAAATGTTTCACTTAAGTTTAAAAAAAAATAAAACAATTCTTTAGAAAAACTAATGATTAGACCTTTTCATCATCATCATTTAAGTTCACGGAGTGCCTTGGTCATTTTCGACCTTTACTCCAGAGTGGCACACAGTAAAGTCCATTGGAGAGAGAAACATTAATAATATAGAGAATAAAAGGAATAAGTGATAATGGTCTGCCCAGATTACATAAAAATTTTCAAGTGCAAAGTTAAACAGAAAATAAGAAATGCAAAATTAAAAATTAAGACGAAAAAGAGATTGAAAAAATACTACGAAAACTACTTAGTATAATATATACAAACAACAATTAATACTACGAAAACTACTAAGTATAATATATACAAACAATTAATATACAATGCATGACACAAAAATATACAAAAAGAATAGAACAGATGAAAACTACTGCAAAGTAGAGTAATTGCTGCTAGAAATGATGACAAGGATCTAGGTCTGGTGCAAATTATGCAGAGACGCCCGTGGGCGCTTAGCGTTTTCCGGTAATGTGAAATCGTATCTTGGAAGATTACGAATTTCATCATTCGGAATAGAGTTTAGATTTGCGTAAAAATGAGTCGCAAGCTTCAGCATAAAATTTTGAATAGTAGGGAGGGCTAAACAACGACGGATGTCATCATTTCTAAAGTACCATGGAGAACTAGTGATCATTCTAAGGATCTTATTTTCAAAACGTTTAATGAAATTAATCTGGTACCTTGCAGCAGTACCCCAAACCGGGCATGCATAAGTTATTACGGGCCGCAAATAGTACATATAAATAATTAGTTTATTTTCTAAGGAAAGAGGTGAGTTTTTATTAATATATGGATACAGCATGCGGATGCAGTTGTTAGCTTTTCTTTTAATGTTACTAAAATGAGTATTATAGGTTAGTTTATTATCA